GGAGCGCACTAATTTGAAAACACTAATGGCTAACAATATATATACAATTTAACTTGACAGAATGGATTGCTTTGTAATATCTACACCCCGAGTAACGTTAAGTGACTCATCGGCCTCTTCAGATAGTTATTTGTTCAGACAATAATGAGAAAATCAGCTTAAGTTGGTGAGCTTGCTTTGAAAGCATCATATCAGGTGGCTCTTAGGATTGCTCAGTGTAAAAAAACCGTATCAAATAGCAGAAGATCTGATATTGCCTGCAGCCACTGATATGTGCAAAACAATGTTTGGGAATGACGACTGTGTAATTAAACTGAAAGCCATTCCGCTGTCGGATATAACCATTGCTTGGCGGATTGATGAAATGGCATCTGATGTGAGGGTGCGATTGGTAGAAAAACTGAAGCTGGCAGAGGCCTTTGCATTACAGCTGGATGAGGCTACAGATGTCTCAAAGGATGCGCAGCTTTTCGCATTTGTACGCTTTGCAGATGGAAATGAAATGAAGTTTTTTCTGCAGCGGGAGAAGAACACACGACGCTGCTTTATCATTCTGAGGTGCGTTGGCTTTCTCGTGGATCAGTATTGTCACATGTGTTTGAGTTACGCGCATCTATTCACGAGTTTTTACTTAAACATTGCACAGAGCTGGCTGCAAAGTTCAATGACAATACATGGCTCACTAAATTGGCTTATCTGGCGGATGTTTTCTCTGAGCTGAACAGACTTAACTCTTCTATGCAGGGCTGCAATGCACATGCAATTCAGCTTTATGACAAGATAGATGGTTTACTGAAGAAAATGAAAAGGTGGAGAGAGCGAGTCAAGGAGGGAATTTTTTCCATGTTTTCATCTGTGGATGACCTGGGTGATTCTGCAGTGCTTTCGCTTCAAGTGACAGATTTAATTGTTGCGCACTTAGAGGCACTCGAGGGGCAGTTTGGAAAGTACTTTTCTGAAGCTGAATCCTGGCGAAAGGACTAGACATGGATACAGTTTCCATTTAAAGACAATGCATCAGATAGATCAAATTTGACAGTGACAGAGCAGGATCAACTGATTGATTTAGGCACTGACAGTACATACAAAAACATATAAGAGACAAGCCCTCTCGCCCAGTTCTGGATCTCCTGCCAGAAAGACTTTCCTCAACTGGCAACAAAAGCAATGATTGGCATTTTGCCTTTTGCCTATCTTTGTGAAAGTGCATTCTCCTCCCTCTCCTACCTGAAAAGCAAATATCGTGCAAAACTGCAGCCTGAGTCTGACATGATACTCTGCCTAACAACATCAATATCCGATCACCGATCACCGATCACAGAAAGCAGTATCTGCCGATACCGATCTTTTTAAAGCCTTCTTTTTATCATGTAGAATTATTTATAGTGATGATCCAATCAAGATTTTTAGACATTTATTCAGAGCCTGAATTTAATTTTTGAAAAATGAATTCCTCTTTTAGGTGACTCTTGTGAGAGGGGATTTTTTAATTTGAGGGGTGGAGGGGGGTATTTTTTAGACATTTTTCAAAAATATATATTTAGCTCACCTAAATGTTTGATCATGCCATGCATTTTTGTTTTGACAATCGTGCCATTGTTGCACAATAGCTTACACACAGCACAAGCCTGATTTCGTGAGCTATATGTGAGGTGGCCTTTTACACCAGGTTCACACATACTCTGTTTGCAGTGCGTATGCAGTCCATGTGTGGTACGT